AGCAGTCAGGATTTGGAAGAACATACAGACTTTCACAAGCTAAGCAAGAGGCTCTTCACAAATATCTGAGCAGTGCTCTAACCTATGGGTTCATCTGGTCTTTCAAGTCATCTGCAGGAGCACTCATTCTGTTCATGTTCAAGAAGAATGGTGGACTAAGAATGTGTGTGGACTATTGTGACCTGAATTCAAAAATAGTCAAGAATAGATATTCTCTACTACTGATTGAAGATATATTGTATAAGCTTGTGGGAGCTGCAATATTCACTCAGTTGGATGTCAAGAACACCTACTATAGACTGAGGATTTGCAAAGGGGATGAGTGAAAGACTGCATTTCAGACTCCACAGAAGCTATTTGAGTACTTGATAGTGCTTTTTGAACTTGTGAATGCACCAGCAGCTTTCCAATCATATATTGCAAAGACACTTAGTGAATATCTGGATGTGTTTGCAGTGGCCTATCTTGATGATGTAGTTGTGTACTCAGCTTGTGAGAAGAATCATGAGAAGCATGTGAAATTAGTACTTAAGGCACTCAAGAATGCAGGTCTTTATTGCAAGCTGGCAAAGTGCAAGTTCAATGCCTGTAAGATTAACTACCTTGAATATATTATAACATCAGAGAGTGTTCTTATGGAGAAGAGCTGTATGAACACTATTCTTGACTGGCCAGAGCCAACCAGTAAGAAAGAGGTTCAGATCTTCTTAGAATTCATGAACTTTTACAGATACTTCATTCCAAGATTCTCTAAGATAGCTTGCAGTCTGACTGCTCTTCTAAAGGGAGGAGAAGCAAAGCTAAGCAGACATGTGTGAAGAGAGATAAGAAGAAAAGCCAACACTTTCATGACTGAGAAAGGTCATAAAGCCTTTATAAGTCTGAAAAGAGCATTCACAGAAGCTGTTATGCTTCACCATTTTGATATAGAATGAAAGACCAGATTGGAAACAGATGCATCTGACTTTATGATATATAGTATTCTATTATAGCTGGCAAAGAATGGCATCTGGGTTCCAGTTGGATTTTATTTGTGGAAGATGCAATCTGCAGAGATGAACTACAGCATTCATGATCAGGAACTGCTTATAATTGTGGAGTCATTTAGATATTGGCACTGCTGGTTGGAAGGCTTGCAAACACCAGTTCAAGTTCTTATAGACCATGATAGCTTGTGCTACTTCCAGACTGCTCAAGATCTCTTGTGAAGATAGGTCTGCTGGATACAAAGACTGACAGTCTTTTGATTCACAGTTGACCATGTAAAAGGAACTAAGAACTCAGCAGATGAACCCTTGCAAAGATCTGACTATATCAAGAAGACTGATCTAGATGATAAGGAGGGTCATGAGACTGCAAACCAACTAAGGGTAATGCTCATGAAGGAGCAAGAGACCACAGAAAAGTTGAAACTGACAGTCCAAGTTTCTCTGAACCAGAGAGAGGAGGAAGAAGATAAGAATGCACAACTCATCTTCATAAAGCTTTAGATTAAGATCAAGAAACTACTTGCAAAGATTGTCTTGGGAGGCATGTGCAAAGTGAAGAAGATTGCAATGCAGGTCCAGAAGGCCAAAGACCTGGTCTGTGAGAAGAATTCTTATAAAAAGGGCAGCTTTAACCTGTTGGCATTACTGCTAAATCTACTGCAAAGTGATGACTATGCAGCTGAGGTCTGTAAAGGCATTAAGACAGGCACAAAGAAATTCACAATGTGGAAAGAGGAGAAGAGTATCCTCTATAGAAATAGTTACATGTACATCTCTCAGAATGAGGCTCTGTAAATAGAGCTAATTAGATGTTATCATGATCTATCTCTTGTGGGGCATTTTGCTACAGCAAGAATGTATGAGCTTATAGCTTGCAAATACTTTTGACCAAGAATGAGAGAACTGGTGAAGAAGTATTGTGAAGCCTGTAGAGTCTGCCAGAGCTCAAGAAGAGTTTACAGAAAGCCCCAAGAAGAACTATCACTCTTATCAATTTCAAATTACTCTTGGAAATTTATTAGCATGGATGTTATTACAGATCTCCCTGCAAGCCTGAATTTTAAGAAGGTACAGTTTGACTGTATCCTGGTTGTAGTGAACTGGTTTACAAAGATGGCTCACTTTATCCCTACAATAAAGAAGCTGACATCAGAGGAATTGGCCCATCTCTTTATTTGTGAGATAGTGAGATTGCACAGATTACCTGCAAGCATAGTAATAGATTGAGAATCTCTGTTTGCAAGTGAATTTTGGGGTGATTTGACTCACATCTTGAAGATTATAAAGGCAATAAGTACAGCATTTCACCTGCAAACTAATAATCAGACTGAGAGACTGAATAGTGTGCTGGAGCAGTACCTGTGAAGCTATATCAATTATGATCAAGATGACTGGATGATGTGATTGCCAATGGCTGAGTTTGTGTATAATAACTTGTGACAGGCTTTCACACAGAAATCATCTTTCCAGCTGATATATGAGTTGAATCTGTAAATGAAATTCTTGGACCCTGATGAGTATAGCTATGTGTGCAAGGATTCAAGAGATCAGGCAGAGGCAATGAGATTGCTCTGTGAAGAGATTAAGAAATTACTTGTGAAGGCACAAGCCTACCAGAAGAAGTACTATAATCAGAAGCACACCACAAAGATCTTTCAGATGAAAGACAAGGTGTGGCTTGATTTTTGCAATATCAAGACTGCACAGCCTAACAAAAAACTGGATTTGTTGAGACATGGATCTTGTAGAATTATGGAAAAGATAGGCTCACAAGTCTACAGACTGAAACTGTCTTCAGATCTGTAAACTCATAATATCTTTCATATATTCCTGCTCCACAAACACAAGACCCACAAAGGAATTAATAGCTCATCTCATCATAAAGTTCACAAGGCAGACAAGAATGAAAAGAAGTACCAGATCTATAAGATAATTGACTTGAAGAGAGAGAATCACAAACTGTGGTACAGAGTACATTGGAAAGAATATAATAATGAGAAGGACAAGACATGGGTTTCTGTAAGCAATGTCTGTTCACTGAGAAAGCTACTCCAACAATTCTATAGTAGGAACCTGAACAAGCCTGGTTCACAAAAGAGATGGATAGAGGTAGTGGAACTAGAAAATGAATTAGAGAGAGAAAAGGCATAGTCAAACTGAACTGAATTTAATTGATTTCAAAACAAAAGAAGAAAAAACTAAACTAAGACTATATAATTAGAGTCTCCAGCTCCTCCTGTGAAGACCTGTAACAACTACTCATAATCTCACTGCTGGAAAGAGCAAGCAAGATGCCCATGATATAGGCAGTTGTTATATTTTTGACCCAAGCCTGCAGAGATGCACTCTGTAAAGACTATATTACTATAGTCTTGCTGAGCTCTCTTGCAGACAGAGCACTCCTGTCCAGATAGTGGCTGGACCCCAGTCTGAGTCATGAGAATTCTCTTGCAGAGCTGAGCATGCACAGTCAACTGGTTTGAATTATCTAAACCAGCAATAAGTATAGGCCTTTGAATAGACTCACAACACCATGCTCTTTTACAGGCAGATAAAGCTTGTGCCCCTGTGTGAAGAGAGAGATCTGGAAGAACCACCAGATTGGCCCACAACACATTAGTGAAAGTAGCAGCTGGTGATATTTAGATAAAGATGGTCTGGAATCATTATTGTTGGTTCTGTGGGGGAAATGCTGGACAGTCCCAAGCACCCCATGAGACCACAGCACTCACAAATTCTACTGGTACAGAGGGAACAACAATAATAATTTAAAGAAGATTAGCTGTAAACTGAAATGTGATAGAGAATACTCACATTTCTGGCCAGGGCTGGAGTAACAACTGTAAAAGAGAAAGACAGAGCAGCAGAACTCTAACTCCATCAGTACACAAATCAATGTCAGCTCACAAGAAGCACTTACAGCTTGAGCTGGCACAGGAGAGATAGTGACAACTGGTGAAGAAAAAAGAGAGGGAACAACAATACTCTAGAACTATCAGTCACAAACACTTCTCAAACTTCTCATGACTACTCACTGAAGACCCAATCTCATCTGCAAAAGAAGAGATGGAGATTCTCTCAAGAGAGAAAAGTGAAGATGAGTTGTGAGAGAGAGAAGAAGAAAACTGCATACTGGCAGCAACTGCTAGCAAGCATCAGTCTCTCTACAAATTAAACCCCACATGAAGACAAAATCTAATAGCCACATGAAGCAAAGACACAATCAGAGGTGAACTCACCAGCTTGTGGCCTTTTAGTCAATCACACAGAATATTGAAGTGAAGCTATTTTTCTTCCAGAATATCAGAGATCTTCTGTGAGCCTGTCTTTCATGTGAAGCAGTGCTTGAAGGGTTCACTTACCTTGATAATGATAATATAGACTAGAGAAGAAAGAGAAGAAAAGAAGAGAAAGAGAAAGCAAGAGAAAGCTCTCTCTTAAGCTAGTGTTCATTATCTAATAGTGACACAGAGTTAGCAAGAATAATAGAGACTCTCTACACATTATTGTGTTATTGAATTCTGTTGTGTTATTAGAGTTGTGTTGATATCATATCTCTAGTGAAGCTGTACTCTTTTTCTTATGAGGAAATTTTTATTTTTCCCAAGAGGTTTTTTGTTTTTCTACTCATGAAGATTTTTAATGAGACAGCTGTCTTGAGGAATCAAGACTTACAAGAGAGGGGAATCTGTAAGAATTTGCTGTGAACCTCTTACATGAATGAACAGCATCTGTGAAGGCCAGAGATCTCAGCTTACAAGCTGCTGGAAGTTGCATGTGTTCTCATGAGGCACTAAGTCATATGCTTGTGAGCACACATAAAAGACTGTCACTGTGCAAACCTCTTGCTGGAAGCCAGTGGCAATCTTGTTTACAAGTTGTACATAGTTGTCAGAATACAGACCTTTTACCTTGTGTACTCTTTTTCATGTATATTCCTCCTAGAGATTCATTATCATACTAATCCACACATACAATCCTCACATCTGATATAACAGTTGGTAATTGTGTTTACTTCATTTCTTCTTGGTTATTTTCATTTTTGCTCTCACTCTGACCTTGGTCATCCCTCCTATCCAAGAAGCTAACATCTGAGGAACTGCTAGAGGGAATATTAGGCTGGCTTCTTGTGGCATATTTTTGAGGAACATTCTCCATCTCTTCATCTGAATCTGCTGGGCTATCACTGAGCTGCTTCATTCCAGATCTTATAAGATACTTCTTTAATCTGCTTCCTGCAATAGATTCTTTGATTTCAGTGCTGTCTAACTCTTCAAGATGATAGGAACCTAGTTCTTGATTGACAGACTTAACTCTATAGAGTTCTAGTCATTGAAAGTGCAGGATGTTGTTTCTAGACATATTCTGTTCTTCTTTGATATTGTGAAGCAAGACAAGGTCTCCAGATTGAAGAGGGTTGGTCTGAATATTATGGATATCATTAAAGTATTTCTTATTCTTAGTGTGCATTTGGAGCTGATGATGTGCTGCTTCCAGAATATTCTCATCTTGTTGTTCAATTTGACATGCATGCATCAGAAGAAGGTCTTCAGTCATTCAGACATTTTGCCATGAAATTGTTTGTCAAGTGAAAATCTTGAGTTCAACTGGAAGAACTGCCTCCTGGCCCATTAGTAATCTATAAGAGGAGATACCAGTACTAGCCTTAGTTATCATTTGATCTGCCATCAGAATTGCAGGAAGATATTTAATTCAATCCCTTCCAGTACCATTGGTGGCTTTAGCTAATCCATCAGCTAAAGACTTATGACCAACTTCCACCATACCATTCACAGGAGGATTATAGGGCAAAATAACAATGTGTTTGATATTGAATTTCTTCAGTAAGATCTCCACAACATTCTTATTCTCTGGTCCTCCATCCATAACAAATTTAGCAGGCAGGCCCCATCAACAGATGATATTCTCATAAAGAAATTTGGCCACAGCTTCAGCTGTTGTCTTCTTCAATGCTCTAGCTTTTACCCATCCAGTGAAGTTACATCTTGCAACAACTAAATAATTTTGTCCTTGACAGGAAGGCATGTATTTGATATTCACCTCAACTTTCTCCCAACAGATAGGAGCCCAGATAGGATGAAGTTCTTCACTTAATCTTTGTGAATCTCTTTGTTGATATTGAGAACAGTGCTTTACATAAGCAGACACATCTTTATACATTCCTGACCACCAGTATTGAGCTTGTAAGGTAGAGTATGTTCTCTCTTGCTCTTTATGGCCAAATTTATTGTGCATCATGTGTAAAATTTGTTTGTGTTGTTCTTTGTTGTCCATGACATGTCTTAGAGGCACACCAGATCCTGCTTGTCTAAATAGTTAATCAGCCTCCACCACATATTTAATTGCTTTCTTTTGGAATCTTGTGTACTCTTTTTCTTCCATGCCCAATGGTTTTGATAGGGTGGTTAGATATTGTGCAATTTTCTCTGATTCTTCTGAATATGTGGAGTCCAGTATCCTAAGATCTTCACTATTGAGAGCTCAGCCAGCTAAAACTCTTATAGGATTCATAAAGGCAAACAGATCTTTGTCTTCTTCAGATTCAGGTTGTTCTCCAGTATCTAGTCCTTGGTGAGACAGTCTGTCAGCAGCTGTATGTTTCATTCCAGGAACATGTTTAACAGTAAAGTTAAAGAGGTGTATTCAAGCTATTCAATTAGTAACCAAAGCTTCTGGAACATCTGTAGCAGTTCTATTAAGTTGGGTGACAAGAGTTTTTGCATTGATTTCCAAGATAAAGAGTACTCTATAGATATGGTGTTGGAATTTCTTGAAAACTTTCAAAACAGCTCTGCATTCTTGTTTGCCAGCATTATATGTTTTCTCTGAATCATTCCATACTCTGGATTTGTATTGTGCAGGATGTTGAGCCCCTCATTGCTTCTGAATAATGCATCCTCCCCATCCTAATCCACTGGCATCAACAGCCACAGTGATAAGCAAAGGATCTTGTCCATAATTGATTGGAAGAATGATAGGAAATGAACATAACTTTTTCTTCAAAAGCATAAAGGTGTTATTTTGCTCTTCAGTCCATGACTATATAACATTTTGTTGAAGCAGATAATGTAAAGGTTTGGTTATCCAACTGTAATGCTCTATAAGTATTTGGAAATATCCAGCAAGCTCTAGAAATTCTTGTAATTCTGTAATGCTTGTAGAAGTAGGCCAATTTGCAATTTTAGCCATCTTAGTTTCCTCAGATTGTCATCTGTTATAGTTGCAGATTCATCCAATGATGTTGACTCCAGACATGCAGAATTGAGATTTGGTGCTGGAGATTCTAGCTCCAGAGATTTCAACAAGTCATAGAACATAGTCCAGGTTCTGCAGATGATTATAAACAAATCTTCTTATTTCTGGAAGGACTTCAGTTTCATCTTTGATACATGATCCCTTTACCCCAAGATCATCCATAAAGGCTTGAGCAATCTCTGGAAAAACTTCTTATATAATCTTCATTATCCTGTGTTGGGCTTGAGCTGGTGAATTTGTTGCCCCTTGAACTAAAGTTGTATGGTGAAAGAGCTCAATAGAGGTTGCAATGGCTGTCATATCCCTGCTTTCTTTAACTAATGGAAAATTATTGTATCCAGAGAACAAGTTGCATAGGCTAGCCATAACAAGTCTGCTGAAGTCTTCAGTGTATTCATCAATATTAGAAGAAATAAAAGCATCTTGAATAGTAACTTTGTTGTACATATGTGCTGTGTTGACTAAATGATATTTGCCTTTCTGTTTCTTTGTGACCAGAAAATAGGGGTTGATATATGAACCATGGCAAGGCTCTAATATTTTAGCTTCTAACCTGTCCTGAATGATTTTAATTAGCTTATTATGTAGAGCATGAGAAATTTGGTAAGTCTTAGTCTGCCAAGCTTCATGAGGCTCTGTCTTAATAACCTGCAGAGACAAGCATTCAGGATGAATGCCATATAGATCTTTGAATGACCACACCAACACCCCTTCATGTTTATAAAGGACTGATATGAAAAATTCCTTCTTCTGACTTGTTAGTTCAAATCCAATTTTGAGCTTCTCAATTCTCTCATTTGTTAGCCATTCTCCAACAGGAAAAGATGTGATTCTAGGCCTAATGTGATCATCAAATTTACAATTAAACATGATGTGTTTCTTCTCAGAATAATACTTATTCAAACAAACATCCACCCAATTATCTAGGTCTTCTGGTTTGCTTCCATCAGATTTTCCAGGTGCTAATGGTCTTATCTTATCAGCTTTCTGCTTATAAGCAGTGCACACTCTCCAGACTTCTGAAGAAGGCAGCCTGATGTCCCAGCCACTATTGAAAATGTCAACTTGATGTGATTTCTTTGTGACAAAATTGTGATTTTTGTTCAGAGATGTGTAAATTAATTAAGCACTTTATGGAATAGATTTTTGAATTAAGCTGGAATTAATATCACATGTGTAATGTTTGCAGTGAGCTGTAATGCTGTCTGGATTGGAAAGCAGAGAACAGAAAATCTGAACTCCTGATGCAAAATTATTCTTGTTCTCTGATTGGTTCATTTGATTCACCAGCATGCTGGTCAATCCAATTAGACTTAGCACACTTTTGGATTTACCATTGCTGGAACTATGTTTCTTCTTATTGCTGTAACCATCAACACCAGTACTACTGCCAATGCTCCTGACTTCTCTATTCTTTTCAACCTCCTGACCTTCAACCTTCTCACCATTAATTCTTATATCTATTGTCTTTGTTGCATTTTCTTTATTCTCATCAGGTCTTGTATCCATGGGCACCCACCTGATTAAATACCTGTTGAATTGTTTAAATGATTGCTGTTTGATTTATCAGTTACATATCTCATGTTGCTCAAGCTTGGCTTAAAGCCTTCAAAAACTAGATGATGTGTTTATTTCTTGTTATAAATTTCACAGTTCACTCCTCTGTCATCTGAGGTGTTGCATCCCCAACAGACAGCAAATTGTCAAGATCTTCCAAGAATAAGTTGCTGATCCCCTCCCTTGAATATAAGAAAAAAGATATGAGTAATAATGTCTCTGATCTGAACAGGCACTTTGTCACAAAATATATAAAAAGAAGTGACTTCTCCTGTTTGAACAACCATGGTCACTTGCAGCTTATTTTCTATTGGCAGATTCAATATTTTGGTGTACTTCCAAGACAACAAATTGATTTCTGAACCAGTATTGATCAATGCCATTAATTCTTGTTAGTTTATAGTGACTGGTGCATATAATGAATGCATTCCATATGCTGTTTTGGATTTTAGTACCATGGGCTTTGATGTAAGTCAACTGGAATTGATCTTTAGCTCAGGCTGAACTGGTTTGGAGACTCCAACCTTTGCATGGCTTTTGCTAGTACTGTTATTCCAACCTGATCTGAAGAATGCTTGATGAAGCTTTGGTGATACATCTATAAGCTTCTTGACTGACACTTTGACCTTCCTATTGAGAATTTGACCCATTAATTCATTGGCATCTGTTGAATTACAGATCTGAGAGAATAAATGATCTGTTGCAGAATATCTTGGTCTTTGTTTCTTCATGATCTTGTTCTGAATTTCAGGCTTCTTCTGATTGATCAGTTCAATGTCTTCCATGATATTATTATTGACACTAGCTTGATTATCCTGGTAGATAATAAATTGTCCAGTATACTGAGTATGGAGTGTTGCAATCTTAGCTTTTTGACTATTCTTAGCTTCTTCAACAGTTCCAATATTGACTGATGTTCTTTCTTCCAGTGGTTCATATTTCTTATCTGAATCAGATTCTCCATCAGACATTAGGTATACAAGTTGTCCTGCTTGAACCTTCACACTGATTAAATTTGCTGGAGGTGTCTCTTCTTGCTGATTGGTCTTCTTTTTAGGGCTTGTTGACTCTGGAATCACCCATTCATTCTCTCCCATAGACTGTACAATATACATGTTTGGTATTCCAGATTTAGGAGTGACAACTTGATAGTTTTGACCAGAGGAACCCATGCACAAGTTCTCTTCATCATCAATATAACAGAACCTGTTATTCGCATTGGATTGGTATTTGTAATACTGAGATTGATGGTGTCCAGGTTTTTCACAGTAAAAGCATGAGGGATGTGTTGAAATTCCTCCAGTTTGAGCTCCTTCTTGGCCACTAGAATGATAGCTTGTCATTGGTGAACTGTTTTGAGCCACATAAGAATTGACTAATTGTGGTTGGGTGTTCTCTTGTACTGTTGCAGAATTAGTAGTCACATTTGTTGTATAATTTGGTATGGGTTTTGGAGGCCCTTCTCTCTGCAGCATATAGTACTGATTGGAATTCCCTTGTATCTGATTTAACTGTACTCTCATGGCCAATGCCAAATTTGTAAACTTGTTGGTCATCTTTTCAATTACAGCTTCAATATTGGTGCTCTCAGAGCTCTTGGCTTTGGATTTTGATTCAGATTCTTCAGTCTTCACAGAACTAGCTGTTTTCTTCAGAGCCTCAACTGTAGGGGGTTTGTTAGCTAATTGATATTGCTCACCAAGCTTCTCCATTTTCTTCTGCTT